TTATTAGGTAAAGATTTGTCATCAGAGAATGAACTGAAATCAGAATGCCTTGCTCCCGTAAGTTTAAAAAAAAGTCCTTTAATGGTTCCTTTTAGTGTGATGTTGAGTAATATTTAAAGCACTAAACTGTCTCTCTAGTATTTGAGGGGATAAGGTTTAGAGTTCATTGTGTTGACTGTCTTTTGAAAGATTAGATAGTTTAGTTAGGCTCCTACTGGCCATGTAAATGTCTCAGAGTTTATTGACTGTCTGCAGTCATTATCAAAGACTATGAACACAATCGACACCTTGTAAACAGAAATCCCATTATTTCTGTGGTACTGATAAGATTTACTGGGAATTTAAGTTTTTTATGATTGATTGCCCAGTTAAACATATTAATTCAGTACAGAAGAATATAAATGAATATGAATACAGTCAACAAACTTGCCTATTTATCTATTTATAGAAGCTGTAATTTCTTTTTGCATATAGGTGGTAGAAATACTTATCTGAACAGTGTTCAGGTAAAAATATGACATTTGAGTATGTTATATACATTTCTACTGATGGTTCAGTGATCTACAAAGGGATTTATATTTTCTTAGAAAGATGCCTTTAATCTTTCAGCACAGAGTAAGAAAAATTCTATAATTTGCTAACTTAGTTTGGAAACATTAAAAAGATTTATTTTCTGGATGTTTCTTGAAAATTTTTATTTTATATTATTTTATACTGGGGTAAGGGCTTCATTCATACTAAGCAAGTGCAGTTACTATATTCCAGCTTGTAGGCCTCCATTTTAAAATGCTTTACTCAAAATAAAATTTGGAAAGGTATACAATCAATGTGTCTGACCATGGGTAAGATCCATGGATCAGTGTTAGTTTTACCCTGAATTTGGTGGTTTCTGCTAGAGGGTGGCCATTCAAGCTTTCGTTCTTGCCTTCCATGAGAAGTGTGATAGATGGACCTGATAGGTGGAACTGGGGGCCCCCACGGCAAGGCTTCAAGAAAACACGACTTTGACACCTTTCAAGGTCTAATCAAAGTGAGAAAAAGCCTTGTTGCAAGACGCATTGGCAGAAAGACAGAACTAAGATTAGGCAGTTGTATCTGAGAGAAGTGGAAAGGTGACCCCCCCACACACAACTTTGATTTTCTCCATGTAAACACACATTGCTGGACACAAAACATGAAATCTTTATCATGAAGCTCCCGGACGCCTCCACAACTTCAGCTCCCAGCTCCGCTCTAATCCCTCCTGCTCCACACTCCGCACCTTAGACTCCCAGCAATTGCTTCATGTGTCACCTGTCCCACGTAGGTAAGCACCTAGAAGACAGACTCTCTATCTTGTTCTTCCTCTTCCTCTTCTAATATCCCAGGGTCCAGAAAATGTTAGACGCTTAATACATGTACAGATCAGGAAGAGGCAAAGCTCTTATTCATGCTGTTGGTCACACACACATCCTCTCTAATAGGATTAACCCATCCTCCAGGGCCATATGCTTTCTGAAGACTGCCTGGGCCAATGGGGTTCCATTTCTTTAATATCTCATAGCATCCAAGTGAGAACTGCACACTTGACACCTAACAGAGTATGTCCTCATCTTCATTGTGTTTTTATATGTCTATGTGCCACTTCCCCCACCGCAGTCAAAGAGCCCTGTGCAGCTAGGGGCTGGGTCTTTAATCTCCTACATCACCAACAATGCTGCTGCTGCTCTCTTTGGGTTGTTACTTACCAAGTGTTTGTTGATTACAAAGGAGACGAGAGGAACAGGATGTCTGAAAGGGAGAACTGGAAGGTCATCTGACAGGCTCATGAAGGAGGAACCTTGGGAGCAGCTCACTCTCCAAGTAGCAGGAGACAGACCAACCCTGAATCCTCAAGCACCTCAAAGGCAGACAAAGTCAGTACAGCAAGTGTTTATGAGGAGTGAGGAAGGGTGCGCTGAGGCTACTGAAAAACCAGGGCACCATAAGAGGAAGCATACGTCCAGGCACTGGCGAAAAACTAGTCAAGGGAGAGCGAGTCATAAGAGAACTTACTAAGTACCAACTGTGTGCTCAATATTTGATATGCACACTCCTTTTAACAGTTTTATTGAGATATAATTTATATACCACAAAATGCACCCATTAAAAGCATATAGTTCACGCATCCTCAGAGTTGGGCAACTAACAGTCAGTCAATTTTAGAATATTTTCACCATACCAGAAAGAATCCTCATATTCATCAGCAGCCACTCTATCCCTCTGGCACCGCTGCCCTTCCATTATCTGCTCCTATTTATACTTAACCACCAGTCTAGTCTGTTTTTACAAATTTGCCTGCTCTGGACAGTTCAAGAAAGATGGAACACAGTATGGTTTCTGTGTCTGGTTTCTTTCAGTTAGCATTTTTTCAGGGTTCATTCACATTGCAGCATGTATCAGAGTTCATTCCTTTTTCTTGTCAAATAGTATTCCATTGTATGGATGTATCACATCCTGTTTATCCGTTTATTAATGCATGGATATTTTAGATTGATTCTTGAACAACATTCTTTTATTTATTCTTCTTTATTTTGTTTGTTTGTTTGGTAGTTTTTGAGATAGGATCTTGCTATGTATTGCAGACTGACCTCAAACTAGCAGCAATCTTCCTGCTTCAGCCTCCTGAGTGTTGGAATTGTAGGCATATAATCTCTTTCATAGCCACCGTACCTGGTTTTCTTTTATTTACTCTTTTTTTAATACTCCTGGGAGTTAGGTGGCAGGTCGTCATTTTAGATGAGGAAACCGAGGCTCAGAAAGATTATTATCCTGCCCTTGCATATAAATAATGGCACTGGAGTTGAAGTCAGAATAACTGAGTCCAAAGCGTCCATGTTAATCCCATCTGTGCTATTCGGCAAGCATAGTAAAAGGATGTGGATCACACCAAATTTCAAAGACTGATTGAGATCACTGGTACTCCCCATCTTTCGAGGAATTTAGCTGTAAATAAAGATATCAAATGCTGTACTTGTGAATATGTGTGATCTTTGGAGCTAGACAGTCTTAACATACTAGCTGTGTGCTATGAGATAGATTGCTTAATTTTTCGATCGCCAATTTCCTTTCCAATGAAATTGTAAATAATTCCTACCTTATAGGATGGTTGTAAGGATTAAAGGAGTTGGCAATACGAACTGCCCAACATATAGTAGGAATATGGAAGTTAGGCGTTTATCATTATCATTACTGTTTGCCACTGTTAGCAAAAGTAAATCTGATGTGTCTCTGCTGTCTGTCTCTCTCCACAGAGAAGAGTCTGGGAGGTGACTTGTGGATACACAATGGTGGGGACTCCGGACAGAAATCTCTAGTGGTTGCAAAGAGATAAGAGACAGGAACTCAGGTGAGAGGTCAGGTAGAGATCTAGCTTTGGGGTTATCAGCATAGAGGTGAGGGTTAAAGCTATGACAACTTTTCAGATAGAACCAGAAAGAAAATAAAGGAATTAATCTAGTGCCTGAGTCTTGGGATATCCACAATTAAGGCCAGGAAAAGGGATCAGAGGCAGTAGATGGTGCTGAAACAAGCATTTAGAGGGGCTATCTTAAGCCAGAATAACACTTAATTTTGAAAGCCTGGGGAAAAAAGGTATTTGACAAAGGGTAAGAGTAAAGAAAGAGTAAAGAAAACTGAGACAGTTAAATCATGAAAAGACTTCTAATGATGAGAACTGAGAGAGAACATTAAACTTGGCTGTCAGGGAGTCAGTGGTAGCCTTGAATGCTGAGCATCTATGCACCCATTCATCCTGAGTCTATTTGTTTGTTTTGTTTTGTTTTTTAGCATCCACTGAACGTCTGCAGTGCCTCTACAGCACACAGTGCTAGGCTCTGAGAGATGTAGGGATGACACCCAGCCCTTTACTGCACTAAGCATGACATAAAGCAGAAGTCCAACGTCCTGAGAGCACTTTTGCATGTAAGGTGGCCCAGCAGGGGAAATCTAAGCTCCTTCTGACTGTGAAAGGAGGATAAAGAATTAGCAAATGGGGAAGAACCTAAAGTACACCGTCAAAAGCAGGCTGAATGAGAGGAAGGGCTTTCCAATTATACAAGAGGAACTAAGAAAGGGGAGAAGAAAAGGCAGAAGCATCTGGGTTTGTTTATTTGACCCAGATGTCATCTAGAGGCTTCTTTTTTCACTGGTTTATAGTTAAAATGCTATTACATTGAGTCTATCAATTTATGATACTTAGGGGGAATTTTTAAGGTTGATTTTCACTTCAAGTATATATATACTTGAAATTAATATTAGTACTAGTTGTTGTAGTATTAATACAAATAATATTATTACCATTATTGATGGGGTTTTTTTTGTTTTGTTTTTGTTTTTTTTTTTTTTGTCTTTTTCCTTTTTATCGGTACCGGGGATCAAACTCACGACTGCCTACTTGCAAGGCAGGTGCTTATGCCGCTGAGCTAAATCCCCAGCCCCTAGAGTTATTGATGTTATCAATATTAATCATTTCTCCCTTCTTCAAAGATCTCCAAAGACCCAGAATTTTTCTCTTAGAACTTTGGTTAAAATGGATCCTTTAAGAAAATATAGTTTGTCCTATAGCTGTGGTCCTTTTGACTCATTCCAGAAACTATAAAGATTTCATCTCCCAGGCTCCAGCCAAATCACCCCAATGGAGAAGCAAGTTAACAAAAAAGGAGCAAGATATCATGGCTTCATCTCTCACCATATTCCTACTCACCACTAAAATAAAGAACAGTTTATAAAAGTTAATTCAGGGGCTGGGGATTTAGCTCAGCGGCATAAGCGCCTGCCTTGCAAGCAGGCAGTCACGAGTTCGATCCCAGGTACCGATAAAAAAGAAAAAGACCAAAAAAAAAAAAAAAAGTTAATTCAGAAATTATGAGTAGGCAATAGAATGCAGATATAGAAATGAAAATACTAAGTTAAATAAAACCAGAAACCCAAAAATTAAAAGGAGAAATAAGGACATAACTAATATCAAATAATATAACAAGTTAACATTGAAAAAGTAAAAAATTTAATAATGAACTTTAAACTGTTAAAAATTGATGACTAATGAGAAATGCAAACTTACAGAGAAACACTGAGAAGTCTCGTCCATTCATAATGATCATCTGGGCTTTAAACGAGCCACTCCCACCTAGGTCACTTAGGTGAAGGTGGATAGCAGAGCAGTCTTTCTGTCCTCTGTCTACCTGGAACACAACGCACGCTCAGGGCGTCAGGAAATTCTGCCTATCCCGTGAGCAGCTGGGAGAGGCCCGGCTCCCGAGAAACTGTGAAAAGTCATACATGTGATAACATTATAGCAGCTTGGTGGTGGACCTACAAAAGGGCAGCTCCTTCTCCCTTTCTCACAGACAAAAGGAGATATCAGGTGAGGACACGCTGGGACTGTATCTATTTTTCAGGTAGCAGTTCAGCTCCATGAAGTCCTCAGGGTCTCAGGTTTTTGTTCACCATTCCAGTTACTGGCCCATGACAGAACTCTAGCCAGCTCTCTGCAAGAAGAAGGAAATAAATAACAGCAAAGAGTACACATCAGTTGCCATATAAAGAAGGTTCCAGATTGCCACACACTACATCCACTTACACCCACTGGCCAGATGAAGTACCATTTACCTACAAGGGATGATGGGAAGTATAGTTTTAATTAGGTGGGCTGCAAACATTTTTATGGGAGCAAGTGAGAATGAAGATCGGAGATCGGCGGCTCGTCTTTGTTGGGGAGATGCCTCATCAGCACTCTTCTCCCTTCCTTTCCTTGGGAAGACATATTTATTTCAGATTAGAGCAAGTTTAAAGTCTTTGATTATCCTCCTCCTGGGCAAGGGAAGAAGACTCCATGAATGAACACTGGCATAATTACAAGTGTTTCTATATATTGTAAGGCAAATTAAAATTTTATCAATGATGAAAACATATCACTGTTGTCTGATGTATCAGGAACTTGTAGAAAATAAAGTCAGTTCATTTGTGAAGACTCAGAGTGCTCTCTTTATATCAGGAAAGCCAGTTGTCTCCTGGTTGGGCTTTTGACTCCTATTCAGTTTCTTGAATATCTTAATGACTGAATAATTTGTCCACTTGGGTAAGCAGTTTTCCCTCCATTTTCCTCTTTGGAATAGGCCTATTGGGAAGCAGTTCACTACATAATTCAGAAGTGTGTACAGGTCCTCATTATATTTCCAGCACCATGTCAGTTACTAATGAGTACCACCATAGGCCTTTTGGCTCTGTGCAGTAAAGATATATTTATGGGGCCTCAGTTGGCTTCTTGCCAACTTCTTGCCAAAGGATTGAATTGGATTTGGTGGTTCTAAACCTATGGTCTATATAAGCATCACAATAAGTAGCTAGTTTAAAAAATGTTAGAATCGGGGCTGGGGATTTAGCTCAGCAGCATAAGCGCCTGCCTTGCCAGCAGGCAGTTGTGAGTTTGATCCCCAGTACCGATAAAAAACAAACAAACAAACAAACAAAAAAATGTTAGAATCCAGCTAGATGAGTAAATGTTACACTATGAAAAACTCAATGTTGTGATTGCATGTTCTATACTGTAATTACACTTTAAGAAACTATTACCCAATTTTGATGAATTATGAAAAAATTAACAATTACCTGGTATATGCTTGTAATACCAGCACTTGAAAGGCTAGGACAGGAGGATCACCGTGAGTTTGAGGCCAGCCTGGGCCACAAAGTGAGTTCAAGACAAAACCCTGCCTCAAAAGACAAAACAAAAATTACCTGGAAATACTATCAAAATAACCTTTTAGGGGCTGGGGATTTAGCTCAGCGGCATAAGTACCTGCCTTGCAAGCAGGCAGACGTGAGTTCGATCCCCGGTACCGATAAAAATGAAAAAAAAAAATAACCTTTTATTCCCAACTATGAATCTGCAGGAGGCCAGATTTCAACTAAAACAGCATGTCACAACAGATTCAATGCAGAGGTAACAAGATGAGCTAGCTAGCTATTCCCTATTAAGCCAGATATTAAAAAGAATTACAAAAAGTGTAAAATGATACCACTATTCATACTACATTGTTTTGGAAAATATAATTTTTTCATAAAAATGGTATATATATAAACATGTAATGACTTTATTATTGCTACTTTAAGGTAGACTAATAAATGCTATTTTAAAAAATTAAATGCAGATTCCAAGTTCCTCTAACCGCCCTACCACCCCCATCATACACACACACACCCTACCACCACCACCACCAGTCACCGGGGCTACCAAGGGTTTTGGTTCATTAAGAATGAGCTTGGGCTGGAAGTATTCATTCTGTATAATTTCCCCAACTGATTACCATGCAGGTGTTTCTCAATACACTTTGAACATGAGCTACCTAAGGGACTTAACACCTATAAACTGTAAATAGAATGAAGGAAGAAAAATACATTATATTAGGGTGAGTGGAGAGATTACAAATGGTAATTTAGTTTCTCTGAGTATATTTCAGGGCCAGTCGTGGGGTCTCACAGACAAGTTTTTTGAGTTAATGCCTGGAAGTGTCACAGCTCCTCCACCTGTCCTGAAACCTGCCTTTCTGGCTGGTGCATTTAGTTTGTTTGAACTCAGTGTTTCCTTTGGTAAAGCTGTTCCCCATTATACCAATTTATCAAAGGATTTATAACCTGTAAGGTAAAGGTCCCTGAAACAGGGCCCTAAGGATGATCCCCACCATAGACACATTAAAAGCACTTCAGGTACATTAATGTCCGCAGTCCCAGGATTTATTGCTGCAGAAAGTATACTTTTAGTTCCATTTATCCTGCAGCCTGTTCCAGAAAGAGATTAGAAGTAAAATGATTTGAGATAGAATCAAAGAATTCCATCTTTTTAATTAGTGTGTTAAACACAGGAACATCTAATACAAATATTTAGCTTTGTGGTCCAGCACTGGCTCTAAGGTCACCTAGAGGAAATTTATAGGGATCTCTAAAGGCCCTACACAATAACTGTCTTGGGTTATGACTTCTTGAATTGCTCTTCATTCCCAATAGCACTACATTTAGACGGAAATAAAATTTGCTGAATTAGTGCACAATTCTGTTAAAATGTTTAATCTTTGCTTTAAATAAGTTGTGATCTTCGCAGGCTTTTTGTTTTGGGGAAGGAGGGCACCTTTACACAATGTTAGCTTTTCTTACACAGTCTAATGATTCACTAATTTAAGAATGTTTTCTGGGCAAATGCCAGGCTATCTGCTTAAGGTGGGAAGGGGAGGAAGCAGAAATCCATTTTTACAATAGTTTAGGTTAATACAATTTTACATCACCTAATACATTATTAAATATATTGTGTACGTGGTTTTATTAACCGCTGAGATAAAGAAGTCTCCAGTTATGCACTCAGACATGCTCTACTCTGTGTGAAAACCTCTCACACAAAAGAGATTTGATGCTTCATTCCACAGTGTTTTACACCCCAGCTCTGGACCACCTATCTGTGAGGTGCCAGACCTGTTCCTTGCCTGAAGTGAGAAGCCGCTGTGCTGAGGACGGAAGAGGCAAAGGAACCTTCCACACCCTGGGCCAGGCTGTGGGTCAGGAGGGAAGGTTCCAGCTCAGAACACCTGGAAAGAGACTTTTATCTTTCCATTAAATTTGAACTCCAGATTCTCTTTAAGTACTGTGCTGAAGTGAAGCATCCTTCGTACAGCACCCTTCTCTCACACCACCCCCAAAGACCACCGCACTCCTGCACAGTACCTGAAGGCCCTTACTTCCCTGTGACTCCATCTAGAATACTGTCATGGAATCAGGGACTCTCATCTTTGCATGCCCACAGCGTTGCCCAGTGTGTGGCTACTGGTGGATGTCCATCAAATATTGATGGCTAGAAAGAATCCTCAATTTAACACCTCTTAAACTACAAAATTTTCTTGGGAACTGAGATGGATTGTAAGAGTAAAAACACAGCGGAAACGAAAAAAAATCCTAAAAATCTCTTCATAATTTTGTGTCACATCTTACTGTATTACATCATTGATTGCATGTTAAAATGATATTAAAACTAATTTCATTTGTTTCTTTCACTTTTTAAAATTTAGCTGCTAGAAGTTCTTAAATTACAAAAGTATAAAAGCTCACATTATATTTCTATTGAAAATAGAAATATAATGCTGGTCTAGGTAATAAAATTTTTAAACGTAACTGATTACCGGAATAAAACAAATACTGTAAATTGCCAAACAAACAAAATGTGTGCTTGAACAATTTTGGCTGTATTACATTTTGTTTTGTATTGTTTAGTTTTGTTACAGGGGTTGAACTTACAACCTTGCATTTGCCAAGCAGGCACTTATGCCTGCTGAGCTAAACCCTCAGCCCTTGGCTAGTTTACATTTTAAAATACACTGATACCTATCGGAATTCAGGCTGGGGTTCAGCTTCCCCATCTGTAATACTGCCCACCTCAGAGGGTTTTAGTGGAGATGAAAAGGGATTACCTATTCGCGGTCATTGGTCTGAATGTGAAGTCTTTTGGGGGCTGGAAGTCTGATGCAAACCACCCTTTTACCCTACCTTGCCTTTCTAGAGCCCTAGTAAGACACTGTAAACGTGAGTGCCACCAGTCAGTACTGAAACACACTCAACTATTAATTGCTCCAGTGGATTATTCTAAATCATTCTTTCAAGTTAATGATTGTATACTGTTTCCCATTTCTCCTCCTCCTCCACTTCTTCCTCCTCTTCCTTCTCCTTCTCTATCTCTGTGGATTTCTTCAAGCTGCTTTATCATATTCTTTTAAAATTAACACTGCATTTCCAAAGCTCTTCATGCCCTGAGAAACCTCTCCCAGGTGCCCAGCTCCTCCCCTCCGCCCTCCCATTGTGTTTTCTGCAAACACAAACTTCCTAGAAAACCATTTCATAGAGCCTTGATGATTTGGACATAGCTGTTTGTTTGAACCAAGCATTTCCTTCTATGTTCTAATTTCATTTTCAAGTTCTCCATCCGTGGTTATTTGGTTTTCTGATTACAGATCACTTTTGCCAGAAAAAAAGTAAAAATGATTTTAACATGTATTGTAATATTAATGTATTTTCCCAAGTCCTTTATCAAAAAAGTACTGCGGCTTAATTTTTTTTTTTTCCAGCAGGCTGGGAAATATTTTATTGACAACCGGGACACAGCCATAAGACAGGGAAGCGCCAATATTAAAACCCAATAGCCAGCAAAGGCCTTTTGGGCCGAGAACACTGCATCCTGGAATCCTCGCAGTCTCTCACCAGTGACACACAAGACTGGGCATCCAAGGCAGGGGCAATGGCTTGGGTGTCCCGGCCAGCGTGAGATGTATGCTTCACTCTGAGCAAAGGGTGAGGAGGCAAAGCGGAGGGACGACTTCTCATGGCCTGAGACCACCTCCTCCTCGCAATCAGCTGCCGTCTTCTCGTCGTTCATCTGTTTGCCACCGTAGCTGAGCCTTTGCTGTTGAGGCGGTGCCCTCTGTCTGCTCCTCCTGCTCCTTGACTCGCTCCACCTTGTCTGTGGGTTCAGTGCCAGTTTCAATCTGCTTTCCGGGTCAGCCTCTTTACCTTCATTAGCATCTTCTTCCCTGGTTGAGGCTGCAAGCGGATAAATTGGTGCGTCTCCCGCTGCGGACACAGGAGCCAAATTGTTTATTTAATATCTGTCAATTCCCTGCAGGCAAATTATTCTTCAACTTTTTTTCACTTACAACAACAAATATTCTTCCATTTTTTAAAAAGAAGTAATTGTACCAGACTTTCATTTTCTTTAAGAAAAATATTTTTTTTTTTTTAATTTTTATTTAAGGAGAAAAGAAAAGAAAAAAAAACAGTGAAGGGTACAAGTTATATTTTTTAAAAAAATTGCTTCTCTGTAGCCATCAGTTACTATTCCAAACAGGGAATATCAATTGACAAAGGATATAACAATGCCTAACTTTTAGTAAGTGCTTGATATAAGTCAAACAATGCATCATGCACTTGACATTTGATATTTTAAACCAGGCTTCCAGAGCCCTGTTCAGGGCAAAAAGTTGAGTAGAGCAGTAACTCATTACCTTCTCTTTTATTTGTCCTTTTTGTTGTTGTTGTGTACGCAAGAAAACACAGGTCTTAGGTTTCCCATCCCAGTTTTGAATATTCACACCCAAAGACACTAATCTTTCTTGTTAACACCTTGTAGTTGGGCACTTGATGAATTCAATCAGTGATTAGCACTTCTACAATAAGTGTTAATCTCTCTTTTAAAATACCTCAGAACTGCCCTTTACCGAGTGTTCCTGGCCCAGTCTCAGTTTACCAGAGAGGATATCCCTATTGTGCGCAGTATCAGCGAGGCATTTCCCTCGCACACCACCAGCTCAGGAAAGGCCTGCTTCAAAGTCTTGCTGCACAGTTGAAGCAGGGAATTATACACCAGGTTGGCACCCACCACGTGCAGTAAACTGTTAAAAGCAGAGGCCAGAGACCTCCACAAGGGGCGATCAGAAATGACTAAACCTAAACCTCCGGAGGACACCCTCAGCAGACGGGTCTGGGATGAGGGGACTCCTGGCCAGCAGTACTGTGTGCTCCGCTTCCAGACATCCAGACGCTGGGTTGCTTAAGCTGGGAGCACTGGACCCTCCCAACGCAGCCAGCATGGCCTCAAATGCCTCTGTTAAGAGGTGAAAACCTCTAAGTCCTGGAAAGTGGCTTCCTTCCCGACAATGGATGTACATAGACAAACAATAAACCTTAGTGCAGCCTTCACAGAGACACTTCACTTCACAAAAGAGGATGGAGGTTTCCCTTCACTGCTATCTGGGGTCACACCCCTAACAGGCCAGCCCTCAGAAGGCACAGGACAACAACAAACACAGCACAAAGGCTAACTCTGCCTTTGGCATTTGAAAGTCAATAGCTTTGATCATAGTTTCTTGGTCTGTGGTCAGTTTTCATTGGAATGATGTCATTTCAAGAATTTATTTTTATTTTTTGGGTTGGGGATTTAGCTCAGTGGCATAAGCGCCTGCCTTGCAAGTGCACGATCATGAGTTTGAGCCCCAGCACCAAAAAAAAAAAATTTTATTTTTAAATATTTCCAATAAAGGCAAACTTTTTCATTCCCCTCCACTACTTATAGACCTCTGAGAGATTTCTCTCAATATAAAAGACAGTTCAAATCTCATGACTTCTACAATATCACTCCAATTACTTTGAATATTTTTCATTATACCACAATGTTACAACCTTATCTTCAGAATACAGTTTTGTACCCATTACCTCACTCTTCATATTTACCAATTTTTTGACATAGCCTACATTCTGATCCTACTTGACATATTGGAAAGTGGAAGCCCAAAGACATGCAGTATGTGACCTAATTCTCACAGCCAAACTACCAAGTGTTGAGATTTAAACTCACCCCTCCAACGTTCATGGCCAAGAGAATATTCATCAGATTCTACTGGGCTGTTTCTCAATTCATGGGATCAAGACTTATTGTAATCTAACTCTTAACATCAGAGCAAGGGCTTGAAAATCAATACACAGACATCACAACTGGCCAAAGGAAAAATGTATTTGTCCACAGCCAAGCTAACAAGGTGGAAGAACCATAAAGGCAAGGTTGGTAATAGAAGTCATCTGTGTGAAGAGCCATGAAACTGTGGCAGGAAGAAGTGAGAATTCCAAAGGAGGACTCAAGGGTAACTGTGATTGAGTGCGTGCCTTCATTATGCCTTGCTCTCACACTGGCCTGGATCTGATGGATCTGGGCCGATGAACAGCTCCTTGGCAGCAAAGTCAGATCTCTGGGGAGGAAGGGTTGCTTATTAAAACACAGATTCCTAAATCCACCTAATCTTATCAATCAGAATCCCTGAAACATGCATGTAAATGAGCAGGGATTCTGACTGCAGCGGGGGAAGAAAGGGCCAGATGTCAAGGGTAGGCCTTCAGGTTCATTTGGCTTCCTGCAGTACAGATCGTTCTGGTTGTTCTTGTGTTTGGTTAAAACAGCACATGAGCAAGAGAAAGCTTTCTCATCAGCTGAAACAGAAACAGGAAAAAGGATTATTAAGAGAAATATGAATGCCAAAGGAGCTAACATGCCCAACCAGAGAGGGCTGGGCACAGGGAAGTCAGATGGAGGCTGTGTGCCTGGGGTCGTGCCAGTGCCAGAGAGCGCCCACAACAGGGTCCTCTTTGCAGCATAGAGGGGGTAGGGGTGAGACCCAGCGACAGTGATCAAGAGCCTTTTTTGTATTTTATATCTCAGCTTTCATTCTATCTGTTACACTCACATGAACACACAAAATATACAGAGCCAACAGAAGCCTTCACACTCTAGGAGAAAAGAAAAAAATCTATGTATGGTACTTCCTGTTGCCACAGGGCTGTGACAAGACTTAGCTTCAGGGCTGAAAGAAGATACTTGTTAGAGCAAAGCGGGGGACACTGTTTTGATACCTCTGCTTGTGGTATGGACTGATTGTGTTCCCCAAAATTCATACCCTGCAACCTTAACCCAAATTGAATTATATCTGGAGAACAGCCCTGCGCAAGGTAGTGAACGTTAAAGAAAGTTGGGGCCGTAGTTGAATAGTATTGCTGTCCCTGCAAGGAGAGGGAGACACACCAAAAAGCTGTCTCTCTTCATCCCGCACACAGGGCAGCCCTCACCAGAAACAGCCAGCACCCTGATCTTGGGCACTGTCCTTCAGAACCAACAGAAAATTGATGCCTGTTATTTAAGCCACCGGCCTGTGTTATTTCTTATGATGGCCCTAGCAGACTAAAACACCTTTCTAAGCCACATGTCTTTCATCTGTAAAATAGGGATAAAAACATTATCCTTGCCGTCGGGTTATCGAGAGAATTAAATAAAACTAATCTATGTAATGATGTACCTGATGTGTTTAACACTATGTGGTAGGATTATTACTTGGGCTAAGTGAGATAATCAATGCAAATCTTAGCACAGTACCAGCGCATAGTAGGCTTAATAAGCTGTAGCCATCTGTGCTATTATACATTTTAAAACAAACATTAGATAAATAACATAACAATTATCATACAATATTTAGTCTTCCAAAATCTTGTCAAATTCATACTAAGTTTTTTTGTTTTTTTGGTTTTTTGGTTTTTTTTGGCATTAGGAATCAAACTCAGGACCTCATGCCCGCCAGGCAGGCATTGTGCCACTGAGTTACATCCATGGCTCATAGATATGTGTTTTAAATACCAAAGATATTTAAAAAATCACATGGAGACCATCTTATCAAAGAAAAATAAAGACCAATAACCTTAATTTTGATTCCCAAGAGAATTCCAAAGAAAAATTGTTACAATCAATTTTCTAATCCCATGAGAAAACAGAATACAGGATACTGGCTTTATGAAGAAAAACTCTGCTCATGCTAAGAAGCTGGATTACACAGGGCAGCACCTTCAAACGGAATTGACCACATTAATTATGAAGGCAGGGCGCAGAGAAAACACAATGTACCAGAAAACCAGCAAGGAGGCAAAGCATGGCTAGAAGATAGAGAATGCTGGGGGAGGGTTGGAAGAGCGACCTGGGGGCCAATATAGGTTCTGTATGAAAAAGATGGGACCGTGTGAACCATTAGGAAGAGTCTGGCTCTCAGTGCACCAGGGAGTCAATGGAAAACTAGTAACGAAGCCATTGCAAAATCCCAGGAAAAATGGAAGCCCACAACACAACAGGACGAGTCGACAGGGAGGAGTGGTAGACTTAGAATTTGGCCACGACACCTAGCACAGGTGAGTAGGTATTTATGTTGGAATAAACAATTTAATTTTCCACAAAGCCATGTGGAAAACAAATCTCTCTCTCTCTCTCTCTCTCTCTCTCTGTCTCTCTCTCTCTCTCTCTCTCTCTCTCCCGTATTGTCTCATTGGAGATGGAACTCAGGGTGCTTTGCCACTGAGCTACATCCTCAGACCTTTTTTATTTTGAGACGGTCTCATCAAGTTACCCAGGCAGGACTCAAAGTGGTGATCTCTTGTCTCAGCCTCCTAAATAAATTCCCTCTTACTGTACGAATCTTTATCCTAAAATTCATTGCAACAAAAAAATTGAGCCCACTGAGGAAGAAATGGAGGCCTATAGGATGAAACGCCAGAGGCCAGATGGCCCATGGCCTCCGTCCTTGGACACAGTCACAGGACAGGTGGAACTGCTGCACGCTTCACCTGCTTGGTAACTGCGTGTAGACGACTTCTTCTTGCTTCCTAACTTTAATAAAGCTTCAGCAGTCTCAAAGTAAATTTATTCTTTTCCACACTGAAGAAACAAAACGGAAGAAAACCAAAGAGGAAGCACAGTAAATATGGATTAAGATTTAAAATAGCCTAATTTTATGTTAGTGATGGGAAACGTCTTGGTTGTCTGCCTATCAAAAATATCTTCAGTTAAGTCTCTATTTCCTCAGTTTTTCTAAACCTGTACTTAATAGTATTATACACTATGAAAGTAGATTTGTTACTTTCTCAAAACTAGAACTTTTTTAAACTGCTAGAAATTGCAGTAGTAATTTAATTATAGTTGTTTTGTAATCATTTGTTTTAAATGGTCTGTAATAAAAATAAATATTCAAATAAAATCAATAAGCCCCTAG